ATGCCATTCTGATCACAGTTAGATCACAGCAAGAGACAGAGGGACTTAAATGCGAAGCAGAAAGCCACCCACCCTATTCCACCCTCCTAGCCCTTTTGCAGGTAGTCTTAAGATGCATTTTAGAGTCAGTATTCTAAAAAGGTACTGAAAGAATTAACATCTATTAAGTCCTCCAGATATTAATAGAACTTCTCAAATGAAACCTTACTGAAAAGGGAAGTGATTTTCTAGCCATAAGATTCTCCCTTCTACAACCCTCAATTTAAGATAAATAAAAGGAAGCTTTTAAGATTTAAGAATACTCCCACACTTTCAATTAAAATTACAAAATCATCTGTATTTAAGATCACTTGATGTTTCCGAACAAACAGCAAAAGCGCCAGACCAGTACAGAGTAACAAAAAAAAAAAGAAAACCAGAAAAAAAACACTGAGGTGCATAGTGTGGAATTACTACAGTCTGAGGAGGAAGTCTTTAGTTTCATAGCTGTAGAAAGAAAATTATAGCTATCTATATTTGAGACTACCACCGTAGTAAAATTAAACAACTTTGTTAGGAGGGCATGTGCAGTGGTTTTAAGAGGCAGGTAGTTATCCAGACTTTCTACCCCAAGAAGTTACAGAATTGTTAATATATACAAGCTTGTTAACCCTCACTTCCCCTACTATTTTAGAGAAGCTGGTGCCACTATGCTTCTCATACATGAAGAAACTAGGTATTTCCTCCCCACAAAGTGCATAAAGCCATTGTACTGTGCTCTTTGAACAGAATAGCATTTAAACCAGAAACATTCCAATGAACAGACATCAAGCATAAAGAGAAAAGTATTGCCTCCAATTCAGTAGATACCCACATCAGCTCACCTACCTTTGCTTTTTAAAAGCCCTGGTAACAAAGAAAAAGAAAGACTTTCATGGCTCTTAAGACAGCCCTGCCAAGACTTGGATATCATATTTAAAGAATTAATTTCAGTCTTAAGTACAGAAAGAACCAGCATAGGTGGGATGTTGGAGTCTTTCCAAACTGTAAGAGGCAGCCAACGCAAGACTCAAGAGCTTATACAGACTTCATAAAAATCAAAGTCTTAAATTTGGAAACAGCATAGAAATTCGTATATTACTGCAAGGCAAACTGAGCATTTCCCTGTATAAAAATTAAACACTTCACATTTTTGCCTTTTGAGTTAAGAGGCATTATGGCAGTGGTGCATTCTTATAGTAATTCCAGTGCCCCCCCATTACATCTGTTTCCACAAGTTACAAGGTAAGAGATCACTAGTTTTCATACACTTGCCAACACTAAGCAGAAGAGAGCAGTAAAGTGATGATGATCAGGTCAGTGCATGAGAAATCAGTAGTTTAGCATTTGAGTGGCCTTGACAGGGTCTCACTTTCCTAAGTAATTGATAGCAATATTTCTCACACATGCACATATGAGTGGTTACCTGTAGGAGGAATTGGAAGGAAAGACCTGAAGGAAGACAACACTTTAGACTAGTATTATCTGTGTACGGGGTATATATAGGCAACTCTGTCAGTAGGCCTGAGACGATGAGGAAACACTCCCTCACAGCTTAATTCATAAATATTCATATGCTCCCATGACAGAAGGGGCAGGAGGGATTGTTGCCAGAGTCTCTTCAAATGATTCATGGAAATAAAATATCAGTTCAATAAATGGAACTTGAAATAAGAGGTTAGGGTAAGAGCTGAACACACCCGTTTTTACATACATCTACCTTACAAACAGTCAATGTCAACACTCACCAGCTACTACATTGCCATTATCAGATACAAGTTTGCTACACACCAAGCTGTACTAGGTTAGCTAAAGCAGTTTCAGTCCATTGAAGAGGGGGCCACGCCCTTTCTTATTGTGGCTCAAGTTTGAGAGGCAGACAAAGTTTAACCTAGCTATTGCAAGTAACTAGTTTTTTTTGTTGTTGGTTTTGTTGTTTGTTTTTTTAAAGCAACTAGTACACAAACAGCACCTCCACAGCTGGATACAACCAAACTCCATACAAATCAATTAAGACCAAAACACCAACACAAACGTTTAAGGCAGCAGGACAATTAACAACCAAGTTACTTCTGCCCACAAGGCTTCAAACCTCAGTGGGAGAAAAAGGACTACAGTGAGTCACTTTAGTGTCCCCTTCCCTCAAACATACACACTTTTCAAGGCCACTGCCTCCACTTCTCCTTCAGAGAGAAAGGCATCTTTGCAAATATCCTGGTAAAAGCATCTCCTCCACCTCCAGAATCCAAAGCCTGGTTGCTTTTTTTCTGTAAGATTAAGTTTCCACTTCTTCCCTTGATTTTGAGATTGACGCTGCCAGAACAACCTTTTATTGCTACATCTGCATACCTGCCTGCCTCCTCCACATTCAAATACCTTTTTGGTGGCTTCCCCTTCAGGTTTCTTCACCATCAGTTTTACCCTGTTGCCCGTAACTTTAAAAAAAAAAACACAAACAAACAAAAAAACAACAGGAGTGTAAAAAAGTCACCCACGTCAAAGTCAGTTTTTCTATACGGACTTAGTCCAAAAGCAACTTTCATTTCTTCCTTCAAAATGGTCTCCTTCAAGAAGCTTTCTAAACCGTGCTTCTGTGCCTTCTTGCACATGAATCTTAGGTACTGTATTAGTCTAGCATTACCTTGTAAAAAGTTCCTTGAGCAGACAGCTTGCATTTTAGTGTTACACCCTGCAGGGTAAGTTTAGTTTAAAAGTCCATTGAAAGTTGAAGTGGGAGTATTTTGGGGTTGGGGGGAAAGAGACCAAACAAACAAACAAAAAAAACCCAAAAACAACCCCCCCCCCCTCAAGTTGTGCAATTAAACTCATTTACCTCCAGACCAAGCTAAAATGGGAGACTATGGACAAGCATTCAAAGCCAGGCAATACAGAACATGAAGCCTGAAGGTTAACACAATGCACTAGTCCAGGATACCATGTAGCCCCTTTCTGTTTCTGCCATGTTCAAATACAAGCAACATACCAAAAGAGCTCCACTGTATAAATCGCTTTATTTTCTGCTTATTAGTTCTTTACCAACACTACAACCATACTGAGAACACAAAATTCCTGTTTGCTTTAGTCAGGGAGAATCACAGTCTACAGACTTATTTATTCACTTAGACAAGATGAACGCTGTTTAAAAAAAAAAAAACAAAAACCCAAAAAACCAGAAAAAGCAAAACAAAAAAACCCCTTACTCCAAGTTACTTCATAAAATTCACATGAACACAGGTTGATGCACTTAAACTTCAAATTCATTTTTGAAGTGATTGGAATTCTTACACAGATTGCTACTTTATCCTCCAGGTTTAAGTAGTGCATTGAAGCCACTGGTTAGTTTCAACTATAACCCTATTAGAGGACATTTTCAAAACGAAGCATTTATCTTTTGTTCAGTAGCAAAAAGTGTTTATTTTTTAATCATCTGCCACACAAGTTTCAGTAATTAAAGTTACTTCTCCCAGAATGACATTAAAAAAAAAATTCAGAAGTATAATTAAAGTTCATCCTTTTACCTACAAAACAGGATATCTAAAGTAACAAAAATTACCAAGAAAATACAAAATTGTGAATTCAACTTAACGCAAAAAGTCTAATGAAGCAATTTAGGCTTATCCCCAAACCATGTCTGAGGAGATAGAAAGCAGTACATACTAACTCTAGACTGAAACTGAAAGAACCCAAGTTTTCATTTTGATTGAGAATATGTTTAAGAACCATCAGTATAACAGAGCTTCAAGTTTTCCAGTTTAGGCATCTACTTTGTGCTTGGCTTTATTTAATTTTTTTTTCCAGAAGAAAACAATATATTGTATCTTGGTGCTTTGGTTTCTGCACCTTTACACCACATTATGTTTGATCAGTTAAATTGAAATAAAAGGCTTCTGGAATTTGTAATAGCTAGAAAATAGGGCAATGAGCTTTCAGTTATGAGACTAAGTAGAGATCTTTCATTTCCCCATCCAAACTGGGAATTTAGGATCATTGGTTTTTAGCTAGCTTCTCCAATTGGTTTTTCATTTACACAGATTTCTTTAGGAATCACTGCTCCATTTTCTAGCATCAAGAACCCTTTCATTGCGATTTGCAGTTCACACCTATTGCGTCCCTCTTTAGAGCCATTTTCTAATCACCAATTTTTTCCAAGTGGCCTTAAGCACTCAATTTTTAATCTTCCCATACATCTTTGGTAAAAAGCTCCATGTACATTATATTTAACATGCAGAGTTAAAATTGCAGAAATGTAGTGTAATGCCCCAATTTAAATGTGAGTCTAATACCCTAAAAAAGAAAAAGAGAAAAGCCATTTTCTTCTGGTTTTGTAGCATACATTCCTAGAATTCCCCAATAGACTTTAACTCCTTGAGGAAATCTGAAGTTAATCTTTAAGGCTGAATAAGAACCAGCTGCTTTACAATTTTTTTTTGCACCTAGTATTAATACTTGATTGAACTCATTTCATACCTACTCAAACACTTGGTTTTTTGGCCAGTCACAGGCATCTGAAAACTGCGATACAGCAAATGAGCTGCTTGCCCTTTAAGACCTAAATATGGAGATTTACATTCATAGTTGTATACTCGCTCTTCTCCCCACCCTGACTGAGCAGTTACTCACTGGATTTAAGTTCGGACAGCCAATGGAGATCCTTTCATACAGAATTATATTAACACGCTACTGGAACAGAGGGCTAAGGCCGTTTGCAGCTACTTGCATTAATTAAAATTTGTGGTCTTGCAAAAACTAAACTGATAATCACTTCCTCTAAATGGTAATTATTCAAGCATTAAAAAAAAAAAAAAAAAAACCAAAAAGAAAACAAAAAGAAAAAAAAAAAACCTTTCAGTTAAAAGCTTAGGAGTGAGCTTTCTTACTTGAGTGTTTATGGTACAGAAACAGAAGTCGTTTCTATGCAGCTACTTTAAAGCTACATAAAGATCACATAAGGC